GGGGGGGCTCCACTGGGCAAGGAGCAGGGCTGTCAGGCTCCTCTGGCGTTTAGGCAGTCCAGGGCTTGGAAAGGGTTTGTGCCCGAATGAAATCTATTAAAAACAGAAACAAAAACCTACTCGCCTTTTGATCTTCCCATGCAGAAAAGGAACCAATGGCGTGGCCAGTCCCCTGTACTGGGACCCTCTCATCCCAAGGGAAGGTCAGTCCTGCTTTATAGGAGATGCTCCAGACTGGCCAGTCTCTGCCCCAGATGCACCTCTGGGTCCTAGGTTTTTGAATGGAGGCCTGTGCAGAGTCAAGAGGTTGTGCTTCCTCCAGGATTCAGTGTGGGAGGCCAGGCCAGACCGTAGGTTTTATCACTTGGGCCAATCAGTCCTGGAGAAGCAGCTGCCCCTTGTAAGGGAAAACACTCTGGGAAAGCCACACCCCCTATCACAGGGATCAGGCGACTGTGTCTGGGGTTTGGTGGCTCTAGGGGGGCTGTAGGGGGTAGGGGGACCTGGGAAGCTGAAGGCTAACCTCAATGCCCCTGTACATTGAGTTTTGCCAGATACATGAAGGGGCTATGGCTCTCAAAAGGTTGGAACTGGCTGGGTAACCCTGGTGAGTTTTGCCCCTTTCCAGGCAGGCACTCAGGGCCTCAGTGGATTGTAATGGTCCCTTAGGGTCTCCAGGGTCAGCTGCTGCAATGACATTTCTGATATTTTGGAACATAGGCCCCGAAGACTCTTCCCACCTGCTTGGGCAGGGCAGTTAGTCCCTCCTCTCCCACATCCCTAAGGGTGGTTCCAGCCTCCCCTTGGGCTCTTGCACAATCCCCACCCAGCCTCTGGGTTCTGTTTTAAGAGGGCAAGGCCTGGAGGTCTTCTCCAGGAGGTTTCCAAATGGTTTTTTGGTCATATTTTTTTTTTTCTTTACTCTCCTTTATGTTCAAAGCAAGTGGCCAGAGGTTAGTTGCCTGCAGTACCCCCCACCACACACACTTCTCCCAACCCCTGTGAATTCACCTGGGAATGAAGAGGAAAGGCTTTGGCAAAAACCACGAGTGGGGTTTTTGGAAGGAAAAGCTCACGATGCAATGCCTGGTGTTTTCCAATAGTTCCAGCTGAAGCTAGAGGGGTAGGGGTTAAGCCCTAACTCTGTCGTTTATATCCGAGCCTCCTCTCTGGGCTTCAGATTACTCAGCTGCAAAATAGGGATGAGTCGTAATATGTTCCTCAGGCCTGTTGTGAGGATGGAACCAAGACCAGTGAAATGCTTGGAACAGTGGCTGCTCTTACCACGTGGGGTCCCCAGACTTCCAGAGGGGGTTCCTCTTTGCCCTCCTGGGAAATCACAGGTGGGGAAGGGTGAAGACATCCGTGCGTGTGGCCCTGGGCTTTCTCTTCTGAGGGCAGGTGCGTACCCTTCCAGAGAGGCCCCGGGACCGCCCAGATCCCAGAAAGGGCTGTGGAGATTGCCTTATGGGGAGTTAAGGCACCGTTGGGTGCTGAGGCACCCCTGCAGGATGGGGAGGGGCAAGGTCCCGGAAGAAGCATTGGTCCAGGTTCTGACACTCAGCCGGGCCCTGGTCATTTGAGTCAAGACCACACTGGTCACCCTATCACTGTGGGAGAGAAGACACCGCAGCGGGCTGAGGTCTTTTAAAGGAGTGCTATGTAGATTCAACAAGCAATGGGCATCAATGCACTTTGTAATAAAAGCAAATTTCAGGACAGTAATGGTGAAGGAAAAAACCTGTGTCTTCTCTGCTAAGGTGGGAAAGGGGGATGCCTGGGCCTTTGGGGGCTTGGAGTTGGAGAATTGCTCGTTGAGCAGAACTGGGCCCTTCCAAGTTCTTGGGGCTTGGGCAGGGGCAAGCCTGAAGCTTTGGGAGGTCCTCAGGGCTCCAGTCCTGCCCTGGGTCCTCCAGCTCCGGGATGGGCAGGTGATGGATGTGGGATGGGATGTGGGCTGCCCAGGTCTTAGTCCACAGCTCAGCCTGGGGAAGCTGCCGGCTCGGGCCTACAGGAGCCAGGCCGACAGATGAAGCAGCAAGAGCGGCTGCAGGGCGGGCTGGCTCCAAGGGCCTGAGGAGGAGGCAGTCGGTCCGGAAAGCATCCAGTTTCCTGTCCCAGAAGCCTGGCCCTTCGTTTCGGGAGGCGCAGAGAGAAGGGGGTGCTTGTCCAAACCAGTTTCGGAGTCCAGAGGCTCTGCCTGTCGGAAGGAGAAGCCGTGTTCTGGTTCCCACCAAAGGCACACGCAGCCATCAACTACCTCTGAAGGGTGGGCAAGGGGATGGGAGAAGTGGTCCAGGCGTAGTCTCCTGCCTGGGGAAGCAGGGCCTCTGCAGGGGTCCACCCCACAGTGCCTCTGAGCTCTGGGTTCCCAGGTGGGCCTGGACAGCTGCCAGGGACCAGACAGAACCGACCTCCAGAAGTCCCCTCACCCCTCCACGATCCCGCTCCTGAGACACCTCTCCAGGGCCTGGAAGATGATGGAGGGCTCAAGATCAAGATCCGCAACAGCCAGCGGTGCTTATTGTTTAAAGGGGAGCTCTCTTTGTTCTTACGTTTTAGCAAAGTGAAGAGCAGAACCATTATTTTCCTGATCAAATTTTTGCCAGCACCGAGGCAGCGGAACCATCTGCAGGAGCCCTGCGTCCTTGTGCCAGTCTCTTCGCCCCCTCCTTTGGGCCGGGGCTGTGATCGCCTCTGGGAGGCCCGGCGCCTGGCTGGGGAAGATGCTCAGGCCGCAGACCTCGGGACCCGCGCGGGGCTGCAGGCCACCG